GGGAAGAGGGTAGGTCGAGGGAAAACGAAACTTTTCCAGGCAATTCCTCCGAGAAGAGGAGAGCACAGGCCTGGCTCCAAGCAGATATGCCCGGCTATGAGCGCGAAAAGATGATGAGACGAAGGGTGGCCCCTGCCTTTTACCCTCTCCCTTTAGTCGGTGATCTGGTTGACAGGGATTCGAGGCCGAGACTGCACGATTTCGACCGAGCTGGAACGACCTCAGGGCTGTATCCACTCGCGATTACGCTACTACACAACTTTCGGGAAAATTCCTTATGCTCTGTTTTCCAATGCTTTACAATTCCTGGAACTTCTTTGTCACTTCTCTTCTTTTCTTTCCCCCCGTTCTTTTTTCAATCCGCCTTCAGTTCTATAGAATCGTTCGATTTTGTTGTGCTAGTCTTCTGTATCTTTTTTTGTTTCAATATATCTATCTTCGAAGTTCAAGATTCGTCACTGTATGATATCTCGTCGTATGTAGGGATCATATTTTGATCATATCGTAATTGATTTTAATCCCATTGCAAAGTTTAAGATATTTTTTTTTTTTTGTAATGTGTAATTTCAATGTTTGCAGGTACAAAGGCATTTTCATATGTCGATATTTCTTTTCTTCTATTTGTGGATTTATAAACGCATGCTTTCTTTTTAAGGTTCAAAGGAGTAGAAATTATTAAAAATCGAAATCGACGTTTCACGTGTTACAGGTTAATGAAATTGCTAGAGAAGAAACAGAATAATAGAGTGGAATTTGCTGATAAAAAACGGGCATTCGGGTCGCAGAATACTCAATCGTTTAGCAATGCCGATGACATACGAGTGTACTCCGACGTCGATTCGTCATGTAAACGATGAAATTGTTCGGAGCCCCTTCCTCTGAATACAGAACTTCCTTCACCCTCACGTCGCGTGCATAATGCATGAATTTCAGCGCGAGAATTTCATAAGAGAAATTCCGTAATCACTAATACACCGGGTGTTACTCGATACATGTGGCACCAAGTGACTCTAACTCTATTTTCTTCAGAAAATGACATTTTTTTCTAATCGTAGTCTATTTTAATTACACGTTACTGCATTAAGTAAAACGTAATTAACACGGTCTATTCGCAATAAAATATCTAAAATATTCAAACATCTAAATCTATATAATGTCTATATTACACTATAGTCTTTTCATAAAAGTAAATCTTTCCCTAGCTTATAAAAAAAAAATATTTATTTCAAATGCCATCCATTCTTTACACAGTGTAGACACCAGATAAAATATAGTTAACATCATTCATAACAATAAAATATCTAAACCTATATTCTCTTCAAATATCTAAATCTACTCTGTATCCAAATACACAAAGTTACATACATCCCCGTTCAAAAGTTTTAAGATACTTTTCAATATTCAGTATTTATCAACGATAAGAAATTTTTATAATACATTAACGGTTTACAGATTCCTTGTCGTATAAAGTACCTATAATTTAATTTTTCCAGTTTCGAAACAGACACTCAGTACTCATCTCAAAACGTTTAAGCTCGGTTGTACACTCGCGTTACAAAACAAACTGCTTCGTTCTCTCCTAAAATGTCGTTTATTTCAATTTCGCCTCTCATGCTTCACCGAATAAAGCGTAGCCAAGCATTATCCATTACATTTCAGGGCTCATTTGTCCCTTTTACTCTCAACAATCAACCCATCATCTCCCCGAAGCCAATTACCTCTGCCCCCCTCCCCTCCGCGCGCCCACAAATTATCCCACACCATTTTTCCCAGCAAGTATCCACACACCCTCTGTCAAATGTTTCCACTCGCACGGTGGAACATCCGCGTCACCGACGGGCAGAGAGAAGAGAGAGGAAAAAGAAAAGAACGTCGGGCGCGCGTCGAATAATGCGATATCAATACCCGAAATTTCGGGGGTTTTGCCGAGTGGCACCTGGTCGGTCGGGCACGATCCTGTGCGGTGGCATCCCCCTGGCCAGGAGTGGGGAGAGGGTGCGCGCGGTCCAATCATCGCAGAATCCGGGGGATGCCCCTGGCTTCGTCCGGGCAGCCGTGGGAGAGACGCCCCGCGACTCGAGGATTCGCGGCTTGTCGCCGAATGCCTTCTCTTCTCCTCGGGGGCCAAAAAGGACAGTCGGCCGCTGCGTTTCGTTTCGAAGGGCGTTGGCCCTTTACGCGCTTTCGTCTGTCGCGCGCGGCTCTTTCACACGCTGGGAAAACCGCGCGAACCACGCGACGATCGGTGACCGAGTCGAGGCTGCGAGTGATGCACAGGCGGCAGTGAGACGAGAGTCGTGCACGCGCGGGTCCACAGGATGTGCATGTGCACGCGCGACGCTGAACAGGGATGTGAGTTGAAGAATCGTCCTTTTTTTTTCTTTTTTTTTTTTTTGCAAGTCTGCGTGGCCGAATCTACTCGCCGATTGTTACTCCGCCTATGTCGTTCATTTTGTGAGAATTGTTACTTTGTGTTTCAATGTACGATACTGTCGGCTGATGAACGTGTGCATGATGATTGTCACTTGGACTTTGGTTCGGTATTTCTGAGGATTTGCAATTTGCAATTTATGTGCTTCTTTTGCATGAACTTTACTTGTCACGTGAATCTCGATAGGGGATGGTAAAAAGCCGCCACGC